AAAGTGAAACTTTACGCTTCGATCAAATCAAACAGGGTTTGTAACTGGACTTTTGAGTACCGATAACATAGCCGTACTAAAGAAGATAATCGAACAGGAAAGGAGCTTCCAACTATCCAAGCATGAAGCATTTCTCGACTTCCAAGCAGCTTTCGACTCGGTACACGGTCAGTACTTGTGACGCATAGTGCGACACTGTGGAGTACCGCACAAGATCAATCAGTTTACTATAGGACTATGAAGATGCTAAAGGCGCCATTAGAGCAAAAGAGTCGTTGTCGAACTGAATTAACATCAGCAGTGAAATGCGATAAGAAGGAGAGCTTTCAGATCTCTTATTCAACATGGCGGTGGATCATACGATGCGGAGGAGCGTCATGCTCTACAACAGCGATGGATTACTATCATACGGCTACTCAGCCGAACGTACCCAGCAGTACATAAAAGATTTCGAGTACATTAGCGATACTGTACTGCTGAAGGACTCTGCCCAGGGCTTACTGCACTAACTGAATAAGTATGTGAAGTGGCTTCGATGGTAGGCCTACCGGCTATTCTCACCAAAACAAAGATCTTGTGAGCGTCAGACTCGATTAACGATGCAATGATTTAATGGAGTGGAACGACCGTCGCAAAGGTCGAAAACTTCAAGTACATCGGGTCTGTGTTGGTAAAAGATAGAAGCTGTGATATGAAAAAGGGTGGAGTTTAGAGCTGGCACTTGTGGACTTCGGGCGACTTTCTAAAGTGTGGCAAGACTGATCCATACGGACAGCAACAAAATCATACTGAATACTGAAAACCGCCATCAACTCAATCCTGATGTACAGCCTTGAAACACCTATCCTTTTAAAGTGCCATGAAAACAATTTTGACACTTTTCAACAGCATAGCCTACGCAAGACTCTGAAAGTGCTGGTCCTATTCAATGAAGGATGAAAAAATAATTGAAAATGACCGGCGTAGGAATGCTGTCTGAAGAAATTTGGGACCGGCGGGTGTATGTCTTGGTTTGACCAAGAACTATCAGAAGAGAGAATGTAGACTTATCCAAAACGATTCTCCTCTGGGAAGCAAAAAATGGCCCCAGAGGCGTTGGAGGCCAACGCGGCATCATACAGCAGCTGCTAGAGGTGGACTTGCTTGCGCTTGCGACGAGGAACATGACCTTTTCCGCAGCAACTAATATCGCCTAAATCATTCTAAGAATCCAAAGCATCAAGTATTATTATTCTGAGTACTCGGTCCTTGACCCTGATCCCCCAGATAACGATAACAAGAACAAGGTATAGATAAAATTTCAGTGAGGTAGCTGAACGACTCAATAAATCTTTTATTACAAAGTTCAAAGTAAATTGGTCGATTCATTGCATTTGTAATATCCTGACTGTTGAAAAGAAAATGAACAGAGAAAAACAGTAAATCAAAGTTTACTCCGGAGCGGCAAAGAATGGTAGCGTTGCGAGCGGAAGTGTTCGAACATGGACATTATTTTTTTCTGTTTCGAGAAGCGCAGCCTAAAAACTCCGGACACAATGAGCACCAACTGATAACAAGAGGGGCCGGTGTGTTTGACTTACATCAAGTCCGTAGATTCGTGCTCATCGTCCAGCGAAAAAGACTTCTCGGTACAGGCGCGGATGATCGACAGCCACTCCTTCATGTCAGAGTAGTTCTTCGCCTCGATCACGTATTCCTTCATGTTCTCTGCCTTCAACGGAATACCGACTGTTTAACAGTGCAGTTAACTGAGAATAAATACAGACTAACAGACTGTCTTTTCGAAAGCCTATTATGGCCACATTCTCGTCGGCTTTGTGAAAAGAATTGAGTTTTTTCGATGCAGTTTATTCTACTTATCGCGAGGTAGCCGCGGTCAAGACTAAGGAATGCAGTTAGCCATTCTGCTGAAAAACATATAAAAAAGGAACAATATCTTATACAGTATCCCGGTTTACTCCGTTTCGACCAGCAATTGTAGTAGGTGCAAAAACCATGGTACAAAAGAGTCTAATGCTAGGAAGCATCGCTTCGCATTATCCTAGAAGAATAGAAAAGAAAGAGTGCACAAATGGCGTGAATGAACGCAGTTCTGCAGCAGCTATTCTCACTCACAAAACATTTATCAAGAAAGATTAAGGAATATATGTCCCTTTTTTCGTCCAGCATCTGAAATGCAGAACTAATGCGTCGCCCTACTTAAGTCACCGACACTCAAGAGAGAAGATTAGACAAACGATCCGACTACTGTTGCGGTTCCAAAACAAGCAGGAACACAAGGTATGGTGATGTATAAAGATTTTTTTACAAACAGAAACTAAAACTGACAAAAAATACACGCAGATCAAAGTGAGGGAACGAAGATTTAAATTAATCAGTCAACAGCAAAAACTGCCACAAGCCACACAAAATCTGTTTCAAGTTTTAGGGAGCTTTAAGAACAGGAAACGATATTTCTTTATCAATGTACAATATTATGGGGTAAAGTAGATACCGTAATCAGTACAACCAGATACACTCAATAACATATTTAACGTAATAAATGTCGTAACTAATTCGTTAAGGAATAATATATGAAAAAAAGCATAAGGGACAAAAAACCTTTCATGAGGCACGGTCGACGAAAACAAATTGTCTCGTTTGTTTCAAATTTCAGCTAAAATTGTATGTTAGGCAGCAACGGAAGTTCTGGCAATTTCCTGTTACTTTAAGGTTAGTTTATTTGGACTGGTGTGGTGATGTATGTAGATAAGCCACAAACTGCTTTACAGTATGTGCCTCGTGCCTTACAATGCGTGCCTCGAAAAATTATCTTTTCAATAATCTAAAATGGGTGATTGTTCGAGTTTTAGGCGAAGAACGGACAGATTTGCGAAGTTTTCCCTCACCATTTCGCCAGGCAGTGTCTTCAAAATTACAGATTCTGTGCAGGCGCTGAGCTTCAACAGAAAATAACCGCTGTTTGGAGAGGAGTCTGTCGAGGCACTTGCCTTGATCATTCTTGGTCGTAAGAGAAGTCTCTGATTAGCTGGTTCAGCAAGTAGTAAATGTTTACTTTCCTTTCTGAAGGAAATCACGAAACGTGCTCAAACAATCGCAGCCATGACTTCTCAATCGGGAGAAATGGTTCACCAGTTAAAAAAATAAGCATTAAGCATGCTACTTGACTAGTAACTGGGTTTAACCAAGCATGGGACAAAAACACTAGCAAGTAACGCATATACAACGTTGATCTGAAATGTTTCAGTTAGGAGATGGAAGTCTTGACGATACAGATCTTAGAAGATATCTTTCCAACAATTATGACAACCGTCTGAAACTGTCATGTAAAATAGAAGATACAGGAAAACCTCACAAAAGTTCGCACAGATGTAAGTATTGAAAATTATTTCCTGCCATCTGGAAACTACTCCTCGCCGAGTGAGTACCACACCTTTAGAAGGAAGCCAGAAATTGCATGCTAGGTTCACCGTACAGCTGCTATAGATTCTGCCTCTAAGATAAGGCACTCCTGGCTGATGGCAAAGAAATGAACATCACTGCTCTACATTTAACTTCAAGAAAAGAAGGGCGCCACATTTTAAGGGGAATTACAAACATCCCTTTCGTATCCATCTCTAACTACAAGAAACAAGAATGACTTTCTTGATCGAAACAACGTTTGACGTAAAAAGGACGACCAGCATTGCAGCTCGACAGCGACAAAACCCCCAAAACATGAAAAAGTCTAAACTCCACTAGAACAGCGGCATGATCACTGCTCGCAGGATTGACACGCATCATAATTTCCTATAATCTCACAAAACCATCTAGCAGAAAAGTACTGTCGTGAACTGGGCAATGACCACGTAAAGCTGCCCTAACCATAACCGGAACTGATGAATCAAACAGGCTTAATCATACTCGACCAACGGTCGACCTCATGTTTCATCAGTCGTTCGCGGAAATCTGAACTCGCTGTGGCAAGACATCATCCCTTAACCACCTATTCATAGTCTTTGCTCAGCAAACTAGTATCATTCCAAACATTTCGACATCTTCACGGAAAAATCCTTCTCAAATCAGACAGTGAGTGAAACCGCCATCTACCATTTCAATGAAGCTCGAAATGCACGCCTTTTTCAAAAATGCTACAGATACGCTTGTAATTCGCTTACAGAAATGCGCTGGTTAC